AATTCGCTTTCAATTTCGGCGCATGCAATGCAGCAGAATGTACTCGATCTTATTTCCGATTCGATGCGCCAGCCCCGTGCTGTGTGTGCGCCCATTTGGAGTCCCAGTCGCAGATATATAAATGTATATATATATATATATATATATATATATAGATATATATCTAAATATATATATGCATTTACTATATATTGACGCTCTCATCGGAATGCACTTGTATGCGCGTTGTATCCGAAATATATGTCTGCGGTTCAGGAATTTGCCATAAATAGCACCCGGCGAGCTGTTTTTTAATGTGCAGCCAAAGTTTCTCCCAGTCTCCCGGTGCTCGGGCCATAGCTCTATATATATATATATATATATATATATTTACGGAGACTGCATTTTCGGAAATGTCTCCCAGCTAAACAGATATAACCCATCTGTATGCCTCAATTAACAGAGAAGTTCATTTTAATGGTCTCTTTGGGCATTTTAAGTAGTTTTTTTTTTGTTTTATGGATTGCGCTTTATTTATTTTTGATGCAACAACAAGGCGCTGATTCAATAGCATATTTATGTTGTCTCATTTGGAAATCATTTTAATACCCTCAACGCATTGGAAGTGGGTGAAAAGGGTATTATACCCTTTTGAGTGCAACTCCAAGTCGAAGCGAGTCGATTTGTCTGCATATCTGTTCGCATTTTCACAATTTCGATAAAAAGCGACTTTGAATCATGTTTTTTTTTCGGGTTAACTCCAGAAATTATTAGAGCTAGATAAGCTCAACCTGGCAGCAATGCAGAAGCACAGTCAGACAGGGCATCTCTTGGTCGAGCATCTCTAGTTTGTATTTTTTTTTATTTTTTTATGTTTTACTTCAGGCTGTAAAGTTGCTCATCGTGTAAATTGAATTGTATTTTATTTACATAGAAGTCATCTTTGAATTTTTAATGGGCTTTTGGTTAATGGGCAGAAAAGCGCAATTAATGCAAACTGTAATCAATCATTCGCTCCAATTAGCCCCAAACATCTTGTCTCTTCGCGCCTTGCCACCCTCCCCCCACTCTTTTCCCCCTTGCTCTTTGTCTCTGTGTCTCTTTCTTGTTTAATGTTATGTACCATATGCCATCCTTTTTGACCAATGCGTCGACCAATTGCACATTCTGGTATGGATTTCAAAAATCATTATGATACTCTACGCTTTGGTGGGGCATATTGACAAAGTGCTTGGCAAAGTATTTGCCCGCACAAAATCAATGCAAATCCTGTTTTAATGCCTTTCGAATTAGTCGGTTTATTTCAAATGCCTCTAATCCTGCGCACTTTGATTTAATTAAAACGAAACAAAAGCGCAAAGTTTTGATTGCTGAATTAATTGAAATGCTTTTGATTCGTGGATTTTATGCTATTAAACTAAATTTGCCAAAGACCAAAATTTCAAATCCATTTAACATGATGAAAATGGTTGCAAATGCATGTACCCGGCAGAAGGAAGCATACTCGAGCTCGTAAATTTGCTAAATATATATAAGGCCAGCATCTCGGAACCCATAAAGTCTATATACTTGGCCAGCATCAAAAGTCGTGTCCGTCTGTTTGTTCTTACTACGAATACGAAAATCATTATGTATATAAAAAAAGGAAAGGAGACAGGCAAATGCTAAGCAAGAATATGGATGGGTATTTACTTTATGGGTTCGGAGACATCTCGTTCTATGCGTTACACATTTCATAACTAAATTAATGCATCCTCCACAAGGGTATAAATATTTAAATAGTTCAAAACAGTGCAAAATCTGATTGAATCCTCGACGTAGGAAATTCTTATATTTCTCCAGGAACTTCAATGCAGTCTAAAGTATATACCGTTAGCAGCATTATCCAGAGTCAGGTACTTGTGGCACTATATAGCTCGATTATAGTCAACGACAATGTTATGCCTTAACCACATCTATGCACTGTATAAGGAACATGCTAGTTTCTTGGATGATTTGGGCTCTGCTTTTTATCAGGTCTGGCAAGTTCTTTGCCAATAAAAACGCGTATAAACGAAATTTGGCTCGTTGGGGCACATGTTAATTGCGAATGTTAATGTTAATGTGAATGTTAATGTTAATGTGACTGTGAACGTAAATGCAAATGCGCAACGTTTAGCCATCGATTAGGCAAACAGTTTATTAATAATGTTAAATTACTGGAGGTTTACGTATGCGGCGCGTTAATTGATTTGCCCATTTTTATTGCATGAGCACAAAAACAATCGAAAAAATAAAATAAATAAACTTTCCGTTAACTTTTCATAAGGTAATTTGGCTGAGTTCCTGCGGTGTGAGAGCTGTGCGTGTGTGTGTGTGTGTGTGTGTGTGAGTCGTAACAAACATTTTAGCTCCACTTGACGTGTCGTATATATATATATATATATGGATATATGTAACATCTGCTGATTTTTGGCGCTTCCATTGCCATTGATTGATTTTCCGTGTGGCTGCATCTACTTAAAAATATATTTCCATATACAAACATATATATTTACTTACATTTGCGGTGCGTGTGTATGTATCTGTGTGCCTCTGGGCACATAAAATATTTATATAGTTCGTGTAGTCAATTTACATCCGAGTCCATCAGCGTTGTCTCATCAATGTCAAGCCAATGAACCCAAATCTTTATTGCCAGCCTGCAGAACATATTCAATTTATGCGCCCACCAAATGGGCGTGTCTCTGTCACTGTGTGTGTGTGTGCGTGTGTGTGTATGCATGGGTGTGATACCCTTTTCATGCCAGGCATGTGTGTGTGAGTGTGTGTGCGGGGTAAGTGTATGATAGATTCGTCTTGCTGTCATTGTTGCTCTTTGTTAGCACAAAGAATTGTAGAAATACGTAAGAAACCAAGTTGAAATGTTGATGCTGCTCGACTGGCAGCTATCCTGTAAACAGAGCTCACCTTGATTTCAACTTTTTGTGGGATTTATAAGATAATTTTAAAGAATAGAATATAAATTTTAGCTGCTTGAAGCATTCGAAGTTTACAAACCAATTTTTAAGCTTTGAGCATTAATAGTCTATCTATAGTCTAATATTTCTAGAGGTAATATGGACCGTTGGGAGGGACAAATTTCGGGAAAATCGGAATGATAACTAGAACAACTTTGTTGATATCGAAGAGCATTGCATATATGTATACAGACTATAGAGTCTATTAGGGCATGCTCTATTTGAGAGTGTTTATGGTTACAGGGTATATTTAGGATATTTTGTGTATGCTAAAATAAATACGCACTTAATTAGTAAATAAATATCGAATGACATAATAGCTGGGTATACATATCTACAGTCTATAGAAGTTGGTTATACCTCAAATAATTACAGGGTATATGCATGATATTTTAGATATTTGTAAATACTTAGTAAATACTCATTCAATTAAAACTTTCGAAACGAATTGGGCATACTCTATTTGAGCAAGTTCAATTAGAAAGTTAATATCGACTGACATTAAATATATGTATGCACTCTATACAGTATACCCTACATTGGATACATGCATATAATGTATCATGATACAGTCTAGACAATCCTCATTTGAGCATGTTTATGTTTGCAGGGTGTAGATAGGATATCTTATGATACGTGAATAGTCATTGAATTGGAAAGTTAGTATCGAAAAGCGTTAGTTAGTTAGTTTCAATATGATCTGGGCATATCCTATTTGAGCGTGCCTATGATTACAGGGTATCTATAGGATATTCTGTATATGCGAAGTCAATACTCATCATCAATTACAGAGCAAAGCATTAGATATTTGCATACACACTCTACTGTCTCAACAACATGAGCATACCCTATTGCAGTATGTTTATGGCTACAGGGTATATTTAAGACATTTTGTGTATGCTAAGTACATACGCATTCAATTAGAAAATAAATGGGCTAAAATGGCCAAATCGTTTATGACTCAGTGCAGGCACTCGCACATAAGTACTGACCCCCTCCCCCACTCTCCCGGCGAGCGAGCCTCCAAAGCATTTTTCCTAAACACATTTCAAAGAAAATATCTTTATAATGGGCATGTGTTATTGTTTACTACACAGATAGATATACAAATATGTAGATATATACATATATATATATATATATATATATTTGACATCTTTAACAGTCTTGGCATTTGTCTGATATGTGTGTGTGTGTGTGTGTGTGTGTGTGTGTGTGTGTGTGTGTGTGTGTGTGTGTGTGTGTGTGTGTGTGTGTGTGTGTGTGTGTGTGTGTGTGTGTGTGTGTGTGTGTGTGTGTGTGTGTGTGTGTGTGTGTGTGTGTGTGTGTGTGTGTGTGTGTGTGTGTGTGTGTGTGTGTGTGTGTGTGTGTACTTAGTTATAGATCTAGCTCGACGCTTGTCACGACTAGACAACGTCAAAATGTCTGTCTAAATCTGCTTCTCTTTCTTTTTTTTTTGTTGGCTGTGTTCCTCTCTTCTTCTTCTTGTTCTTCTATTACGTGTGTCATTTCAATTTTCCGTTCAAATTTCTGGGAATGGGAACAAGTAAATTACTTTGGCACAACCTTTTGTGTGTTGTCTGTGCGTGTGTGGGTGTGTTTGTATAGTACTATATTATAAAAGTATTATATGTAGATGAATGCGCGACTCTTGTCTGAAGGGCAGTTCTAAGTAGCATTCCCGTTGATGCTTTCATTAACTTGGCATCAATTGCCCCGTCGCACCGTCACGCCCCGCGCCGCCCCGCACCACCGTGCCAAGCAATCAGCCGATCCGTCTAAAAGTCCTTTGTGTGCTTTGTACCAGGATTGCGGTGTGCTGGGCATGATGCGGCGGCGGCGGCGGGGGCGGGGGCGGGGGCGTGGCCGACCCACATCGAAAATGTCAGCTCTTGGCATTGTGTGTTGGTTTGGGTGGTTTGGCAGTGCCAGGCACATTTACAATATCAGACATTGTAGCTAAGGAGATGTTTGAAACTTGCTAACATTTTCATTTAGTTGCTCAACTTGAGAAAAGGTCAATCAAATGCTGCTAAAAAAAAAAAAAACCCGTTACCTTCATCATCCCATTTACTTGTCTTACAGCCAAAGTGAAAATGTAACCCGCTGACAACGCGCTCAACATTCTCTCTTAATATACATATATCTAGCATTCGGTTCGGGTATCCACAACATTTCGACACTCAGATCTGAACCCTTAGATAACGACAACCCCAGCGCAATGTGGCGAAAGCTGAAATAACTTTGAAGTTATATTGAAAACTATAAAATTTAAGTTTTCGCTTATAGATAAATTTGTATTTTACTGTATAAATAAAGTCTGATAAATTTGTGCTTTTAATAACTCGTTTCGAAAGAAGCGCAGTGAAATGATAAGTTCGCTCGCCTTAGATTGAGCACAGCAATCTGTAAAGAAGAGAGAAGCTTTAAATGTCTCTGATTAAGTTTATGGATTTTTATTTTACTTTTAATTCTTTTCTTGGTTGTCTTTTTTAAAATGGCTTTTCAGTCTAGCTACACAGCTGACTACGCTTCTCGCTTTGCTTCTTAGCGATTGGCTTTAAACTTAATTCCTAGCTTCACAGCTGACTACGCTTCTCGCTTTGTTCCTTGCCACTTTTCTTGATTTTAATTGTTTAAATTTGCTTTTGCTTACTATGCTTCCCGTTTTGCTTCTTGCCCTCCGTTTCGCTCTTCATTACTTTGATTTTCCTTAGATTTGCTTCTCACTTCAGTTATCAAATATTTAGATTCATTTCTAGCTTCACTTATGACTGCGCTTTTTGCTTTGCTCTTTCACTTCGCTTCATTTTGAATTGTCCGTCTTCTTTTTTTTTTGCTCTCCTTTTAACTTGCTGGGAGCTCGGTTCATATTTCTCTGTCCATTTAGCTTCTCGTTATTTTTGCCTTGTTAATTGTTTTACTTCTTGTTTGATTTTAATTTTGGCTTTCTGCCTTAATACCAGTTGTCTCTTTACTACGCTTCTCGCTTTTATTTCCGCTCTGGTAAAAACATAATTTGTTGCTTTATTGATGAACTAGCTTTTCTTTTCATTTTCACGCTGACACCTATAGCGCGATAAGCATTACAGGACACTTGGCTCACTTCTCGCATCGCTTCTCACTTAACGCGTGTGTCAACGCTTGCCGAATACTGACTTCATGTATTACTTCTCACTCTGCTGCTTACCTCGCCTTCTACTGCCCGACAATTTTAAGTGCATGAAATACCGCATGAAAACGTTTTAAGCACTTCTCGCTACGCTTCTTCCTTCGCTTTTGTCATTGTTTACAGCTGCTCCTTGTGGCCCCACTGACGTCAGCGGCCGTGTCCAAATGGGCTTCTGCTGTTGGCGTTTACTTAACTTCTTGCTTAACTTGTTTGTCAACGCTTCTCTATTTGAATGCACGCATGCTTTTCACTCTGCTTCTTGTCTCGCCTTCAACTTCCCTTCACCTGTAAATGCATAAATGAGGTATGGAACCGATTAAGGCAATTCTCGCTACGCTTCTTCCTTATTATTGCGCTGCCCACAGTTCACTTATTTCATCGTTTTCAGCTGCTCCATGTGGACCCACTGACGTCAGCGGCCGTGTCCAAATGGCCACTTACCGTTGGCATTTACATAACTTCTCGCATCACTTCATGCATCGCTTCTCGCTTAACTTGTTTGTCAGCGCTTTTCTATCTGCTTCTCACTCTGCTTCTCGCCTCGCCTTCAACTTCCCTTCACCTGTAAATGCATAAATGAGGTATGGAATCATTTAAGGCACTTCTCGCTACGCTTCTTCCTTATTGTTGTGCTGGCCACAGTTAGCTTTTGTCCAGCTGTTTCCAGCTGCTCCTTGTGGCCCCACTGACGTCAGCGGCCGCATCCAAATGGGCACCTACCATTGGCGTTAGGTAACTGCCTTATAAAAGGCATTTGGCCGTAACTTATCCATTCGTTATGGCCGTCCTTTCAAATGTGCTTGACGAATGCAACGAGGTCGGCAGACTCTTCTCTTCTAAGCTGCAAATAAAAATGTGCCCGGCTTGGGCCGAGTTAACGATTTGCTTGTTTCCTTAGTACCATAATGAATTTATATATACGTATATATATATATATATATATATATATATATATATATATATATACAAGTATATGTGAGGGGTCAGTCCTTGGAACTGACGAACGGCAACAACAACAATAATTGCACAAAGCTCAGCGCCAGGACGCAGCTCGGCCTCTGATTTTGAGTTGTGCAATAAATTTTTATCTCTACATGCGAACGTCGAATTCGAGTAGAGCCCAAAGGAGAAGGGGGGTGGTGGTGTAGGGGGGGGGGGAAACCTGGAACCTGTCGGTTACGAGGCAACGCGTATTGGGGATTGGCGCACGTGGAATCAAGCGGCTCGTCGAGAAGGGGGGGGGGGGGGGGGGGGCGTGAACGGGTGACTGGCACGGGAGGCGTTGTCCGGAATTGTGGCCAGGCCATTAAACAAGGCTATCAGGTTTGAATGGGCAAACCTGAAGCGGCCATTACACAATAGATTTTTGTTGTTGCTTTTTTTCCGGCTTTTTTCTTTTATTTGTGTTTTCCTTTTTGTTGGCTTTGTTTTTGTACTGAAGCCAGTTGCTCTGTTTCGGACACGAGTCCGTGTCCTGCAGCCGCTGTTGTCGCCGTTGTCGCCGTTGTTTTATTGTTATTGGCCGGGCTGTGTGGCATGTTTTAACGCCGACTGCTGAATGACATCTGGGTCACCTGGCCAACTGGCACATAACTTATGCCCCCGGCACAGTGAGCGCCAGCAGTGTGCAACTTCCGTTCCCGCATCTCGCTGGATATTCACACACGCTCTCAGGTCAATCACTGTTCGCCGCACAATATGTCCATTGTTCGAATTTGTCCCGTTTCTAAAAACAATTAATAGAGACTCTATCAATGCTATGCATGACGCACTTCAAACGGGCAAAGAACCCATCGCCCCAATCTCCATAAATCTCATTCAATTTCACTGAGAAATTGGACAAACTTGTAAAAAAACAACTTGAGATTGCTCTGTCCTCCTTTCCTTACACGCACACACACAAGCATGGGGCCGCTTGATTTGCTTCTTCTTCTTCTTCTTCTTCTTCTATTGGCCCCACACTAAGGACACCAGATTCTCAAATAACTTCGTTGTTCATTGTCCAATCTCTATGAAATTTCTAGAGCTTAAATATGCCATACAAAGTCGTTGTATACCCAAGGACAAGGTTATATCTAGCAAAATTATTTTTCTTTTCGATTTTTGAGCAATCAAACGAAATTTTACAACCAAAAAGACAAAAAAAAATCTGAGAATGCTTCGCGTACTTTCTTTACATGCATACACACACACACACACACACACACACACACACACATGGAGCTTCATGTCGCTTCCCGCGGAATACAGCACGGCTTTAATCAGTTATACAGAAATCTGTCTAAATCTAAGGCAAAAGCCATATCTGTGTTTCCTTAGCACCCCTCCCTCCACACATTAAGGGAAATACGCTCTCAAATAACTTCGGTCTTTACTGTCCGATCTTAATAACGTCTGTATATATCCAAGGACAAAGCTATATCTGGCATATTTCTTGAAATTTGTATTTTTTGTGTTATCGATTGATCATCAACGCTTGTTTCGATATTGATATATATATCGCTGGAATCTTATATTTAGGTATATATTGCTTCTTAATTTCAACCAAATTTAGACGCCTGATTGATGTGAATGAAAATGAAGATATTACTAAAATGTTGTATTAATATACAAATAAGTTCCTGGTTTCGTTCCCATCAAGAATATACATATAGAATTTATTGCGTCGCAAATGGTGTCTTCTAATAGACAGTTGTTTATAAAATATTCTGCCTGTCATTATAATTCTTCAATTATTATCCAACACTTAGTAATTTGAATATACTAAGGAAATAACTCTGTTCACCCTGTTTGTTGTTATGGATAATGAGCCAATTTTAAAATTCTGAAACTTAAGTCGCTTCGTAAACTGAATTACAAGGACATTTACCTCTCTGTGTGTGTGTGCTATGTATGCCATAATAATATTGTTTAATTTTCTGGGTAAGGGGCGTCACAGACCCAGACCCAGACCCAGCCTGTCATAAATTACCCGACAGTGCAGTCAATATATATATATATATATATATATATATATATAAAAAACAGACCCCATCAACAACTGTTTTTAATGGGTCTTTTTAAATTGAAGCTTGGAAAATTAAATTCACGTAGCTGTCGCCATATGCAGGTGCACATTATGCCACAACGTGGCCCATTCACAACACTGGTAGCAGCCAGTGTTGGCCTGTGAACTGTAATGCCTGAAAGAGGTGTGCACTCAAAAAAAAACCTGGTGCCCAGCATGTTAGAAAAAAGTTATAAAATTAAACATTTTCTAAAAGTAACCAAATTCACTTTTGATCAATTTATATTGAAAAAAAAAACGAAGATATTCTTCTTTTTATTACTGACGAATTCAAGAAAGTTCTCTGAGCTTTTCTAGTACTTGTAAATAAATTGTTTTATGTGTATTGTGAAAATTTTTAACCCAATTTGTTGCCACAATTGCTGGCAATGGATTGTCTGGCCCATGGACTGGCAACTGGGGACTGGGCTTGGGCCTCTGTCTCTGGGAACTGGACGGGGGCATCGACTATTATTAGCGGCACGCTCGAATTGCCAACGGATAGCGGCTGGGCGAATGGCTGCCCGATGTGGTTGGATGTTGGTTTGGTGGGCTTTTGGTGGTGCTCAGGTGTTTCGACTTTTTACATTTCGTGTCGCTCATGTCCCCAGACTCATGTCCTCTGTTAGTGTTATTGTAATTGTGTTACTGTTATTGTTATTGTTACTATTGTCGTTGTCGTTGTTGTGCTACTGCGAGTCCCGTGTCGAAATGGAACAATTGCTCAAGGCAACAATATTGACAACAATTGCAAATAAGAAGGCTTTGGTCGAAAGTGCTCAACAGAAGCATGTTCTCGAATTCGTATACTCACTGCAAAGCTATCAATCTATAAAATAGCTTAAATAATAACACGACTAACGGTATTTAATGTATACGTGTCGAACTATCGATATTCACGATCGATACACGTACAGCTCTGGTAAACAGCTGCAATGCTGCTATCGATAGTCACAAAATTATTGCAGACATCGTTTGCACCTCAAACAGTAAACATTGAACAATCAATATTATCGATTACCCTATCGATAGTTCCAATAATGTTAACGGCGGCGTCTCTTGTCTTATCGATTGTATTATCGATAGGAGCAATGACACAAGCGATCGATAACCCTATTCGTAAGGGTGTTATTGATAAATGAATCAATATCGTTATTGAATGCACTTGGGCAAGTACCGATAACCCACAAGCATCAATAGTACTATCGATAACGGTTTTAAGACTGTCGATAGTTGTTTCAGTGTCATGTTGAAATTCACGATCGGTTAAATCGATCATAAGACAAATATACATACATAAATATGTTGTCAATGTCAATGCTATTTACAATATTGTCTGCTTTCGATAGTTATATGGATTATGTTAGCAATCGATGAAAATTCAAATGAAATTGGTATTTATTGATAGAAAAAACCTGGAAGTAAAATTAAAATTACGATGCGCCTATTTTAAAAGAAATACTCTCGAATTTGATGAGGTATAAGAGAAGCATTGCTTAGTGGGCGGTTAAAAGATTCATGGTTGAGTAGCTAAGCGAATACTGCAGTCATATATAGGGCATTGCATATTCTAACTATAGCATTTGGCTAACATTAGCCTACAGGGTATTCCAACATATTTGAGTAGGTTGTGTTCGGTGGTGCGAGAGGCGACTTTCTTGCATAATTTACAATGCTCGTTTGTATTTATAGCTGAATTATTGATTTTCATTGTTAGATTTTGAAAGTTGTTTCCAAATTAGTTTTTCGTGGCATCCACCTGTGCGCGCAGACCAAGCGAACCAAGCCAACCAAACCTGACCAAACCACCCAACCACCCAACCACCCATCGACGCCGCCCACCTGTCAATCGGCACGTTTCGAGCCACATATACACACTTACACACACACACACACACACACACACACACACACACAGGGCCATCCAGGCAGCCAAGCGACCAACCAGTCGAGCCAACCCGCCATAGCTTTGCATATAAAATATAGAAATACTTTACACACACATATACACCCGCACACCCGCACACACACACACACACACACACACACCCACACACAGCTTAAGCTCATGTGCGTGAGTTCATGTTTGCATTTCAATGTTTGCCATCCCGTAGGTGTGCGGTCATCAAGTTTTCCACCTCAGCGGGCTTAGCATTGCAAATACAAACAAACAAACATACAGTTACACACACTTGTACGCACACACACACACACACACACAGATACACACACCTGTCTTTGCATATGCATAGCTCTGCTTTCGTACAGTTGCTAACTGCTCGTATCTATGAACTTTCTGTCGTTATCTCTTACTACTTCTTCTTCTGTTTATACTTAGTTGACAAAAGCTTTTTGCCTCGCCGAACTTGGTCTCGACAAGCTTTTGCCTACATGTACGTCAGCTTCTTTTGTGAAGGTTAAACTTCTCTTTTGTATAGCATGAGAGAGCCGATCTCTGCCCAAGTTAAGCTTAAGCGAAAAGAGGTTAGAATTGAATCAAGGCCGACACTTTGACAAATGTTGCACATCTGGTCACACAGCTGGCTGTAAATCCTTAACATTTGGTTGACAGGAGGTTGTACAATTGTGCTTTATTCTTAACAGCAAGCTCAAGTTAAGAAACCGAACCGTAGCTATAATTTGGGGTTCAACTACGTCCGATAGATAAATTATTTTACACAAGCCTGACATTTCATTGACAGGAGAATAAGAAGCCAAAATATTGTAAATTTAAACTGCGTGCCAACTAAAGGGATCATGACAGGAAAATTGAAGTCTGATTAAAATAATCTGTATCGGTTTTCTCTTATATTATAAGTGAATGACATACATGATACTCAGGGACTTTTCTTCGATCCCAGGTATCCTACATATATTGTAGGATTATTTGCATAAAAAAAAGAGTAGGAAGCATCTCCGTCCATATAAAGAATATATATTCTTGATCAGTCGACTCGAACTAGCCAGTTCTGTCTGTCTGTCCGTCCTATATGAGCTAGAGAGAAATTTCGAGCGAAGGTCCTACAAGGACCCGCGCAGTACGAGTTTGTTTCCGATAATCGATAACTTGTCCCTTTTTCAAGCAATCGATAAAAATCGATATCAAAATGCTGTTTTGTGAGCAAATCTCTTACGCTTTTAAGAGCTAGAGACACCAAATTCACCATGTAGCTTCTAGAAAAATATCTTTTATTTTTTCGGACTCTATTGAGGTATCCATTTGTTGTTAGTTTATTTGTATTATTGCTTAAGCAAACGAGCTTGTATCGCAAGCTGTATTTTGTGTTGTTAGAAGAGGGTGCAGTGTATCCCCTTGTTGGTAACTCCCGGCTAGAGTCTCTTACTTGTTTTATTGGTATGGCTAAAAATATTAGTGCAGCACTTTATCGTTTTTACAGAAAACAGAAAAAATAATCTAAAATCTAAAATTGGATAAATGAAATTTAATGAAAAATCAATTGAATTGTTTTAATGCAATTTACGATGATAGCTGTGAAAAGTGAACTTAAGTGCTAATCGCTTTTCCATTTTCCCATTTTCCATTGCAGATGTCAATTCAAAAGCTAAACGAGAACGCCAACTCGGGCTATGTTAGCTCCGAGGAGACGGACTCGCTGCTTGTATCGAACCCAACGAAGGGCGGGCGAACCGCATTGCTGCGGCAGGTGAAGAGCAGCTCGGCAAATGGACCAACATCGAACAATATGGCTTCCACGTCCGGTGGCAAACCGACGCTGATGCGTCAGGATCGGACATCAACATATCTGACAAGTCCGCAGCAGTCGCAGCATATCCGCATGGGCTCCGAGGAGAGTATGCGCGGCGGGATTGGTGTTGGGCACAACGATGAGGATATTGAGCAGGGGCTGCGTGCCGCCATTGTGCCTGACATTGAAGTACACGAAGAGGACCAAGAACTAACACAAAACACATCAACAACAACAACAATATCGGCATCGGCCAGCTTGGCTGGCGGTGCTCTGACCAAGCAGCAACAGCCGCACCAGCAGGAACAGCAGATCCAGCAGCAGCAGCAGCAGCAGCAGCAACAGAAACCGACCATATCAATTATGAATTTAAGCCTGAAACCGCACGACGGCACGGGATCGGGAACGGGTACGGGAATGGGAACGGGAACGGGCACCGGCTCGAGTCATCCCAATTTGGGCACATCATCATATCAGAATCTATCATCCAGCATACCGCCAAGTGCGCCCAGTCGTTGTCGAGCCTGCCGCAATTGCAGTCGACGGGCATCGACGACGCCGATCTCGACGGGCGGCCAGATCGATCGATCTGCCTCGCGGGACAGTGTGAAAAGTGCCTTCCAACAGGGTAACCTGACCAGCTCGATGGCCATATGCATATCAAACTCAGCCCTCCAACAGCAGCAGCATCAGCAGCTGCAGCACCAGCTGCTGCAGCAGCATCAGCATCCGCATCACCAGCAGCTGCATCAGCAACAATTGCAGCTGCATCAGCAACAATTGCAGCTGCATCATTATCAACAGACACAGGTGCCGCCAGTGTTAATCACATCATCGCCGACAAACGGTTCGCGAATCATCAGGCAGAGCTCACAGCCGGAGTCAAGCACCACGGCCATTTGCTGTGGCTCGCACAGCTCCTGCGGCCACTCCCACACGGTACCGAATGTGTCCCTCAAGCAGCTGCGGGAAAGCACCACAGATGGCATTGCGGGCATTGCCGCCGATTCCCTGAGGATCAATGGCGGCATGCGTCCATTCAAACAGGTAAGCGACAATCTGTTTATTTTCCAACTCAACCCGGCCTCCGAAAAAAAAAGGAAATGCCAGCAAACTGGCCCAAAGGGATATTGGGGTCTAGGGGAATTTTGGCTGTGTACATAACCTCAACTAAATGTGCCTAGAAATAGCTTAACCTCAAAATGTGTACATAGCCTCAATAAACTGTCTCTTTTTCTCTCTCCCTCTCTCTCTATCTCGCTCTATCTCTTTGTATCTTTGGTGTACACTGTACTGCATAGAAACCCATACTACGAAAATGTAAACGTGTAGTGTCACCCGCTCCCCGCGCACTCGATGTTATGTGTTTGCCTCAACCTTTAGCCAACCCACCCCATAAAAAAAAAAAGAAAACCAAAACAGACTAAAAAGTAAATGGATGGAGCAAAAAAAAAAGTTGTATATACTAGACTAGACCGTTGCTTTCAGCGGCGCAATTAATTTTAATTGATTTCGGTTGAAATTTAATGCTCTGTGATATTGATTGGTCACACTGTTTCACTGGCGCAACTTTGCAACAAGTTGGCAGCTCGCAAAGCAAAATAGAAAACTTGCCGCATTGACAACTTTTCCATTTTATTCATTTGGCCGGCAAAGTTTTTGTTTTTATTGCCTGATTAAGAAACCTGTCCACTTCGGTTATCCACATTTAGCCAGCTAAATAGAGATGGGCAGCTAACGATAGTCGTTACTTATCGCCACATAACGATAACAAATGCAATTAATTTTAATTGTACTTGATAAAGAAAATGATAAGCAGAAAAACAAGTAGGGGTCAGTCTTCATTAGGTCCAGTTAAACGCAGCTCTTTGTTAATCAATTTTAATCAATTCAATCTACACTAATAGTTCCTCTTGTTCTTACCTTTGGAAATTGACACTTGAGAGTGGCAAAGACTAATTAGCTCTGCCATTCGGCTTACGTTGCAAATAATTGCCTACCCCTTAGGTTAAGCTTGTGCGATTGGTTTAAGACATCGTCATTTTAAATAATACAACACTTAAATTAAGACTTTATGACAAACCATCTTCGTTTTGTTAAGATTCTATTAATAAAATCAACTGGATTATCAGCTAAATATAGCTCAACCATGCTCCTTATAATTTTTGACAATTTAGTTTTATATTTCACACTTATGCTTGAGGAAATTAATTACGTTTCTGTTGGGTTAACTCTTAAAGAGCATTGAAATTCCTGTCTGGTTAATAATTGACCGAATCAATCGATAGTTATCGATTCTCAAGCTTTGCAGAACTAAAATCTAGCGTGCTCAAGAATGTGGTTTAAGCTTTTCCCTAGTAACATAATCAGGATATAGTGAATTGAACTGTAACATTCATTCAACTATAACTAATTGAAAATATCGATATTTATGCCATCTCTAAAACCAACTGATTTAATGCTTTTAAGTTTAATTGAAACCGAATATTTGTGTATATACTTTAACTATAACCATCTTGAATAGTTTATACTTATAAGTTGTACGAAAAAGACACATGAAAGTTTTCCAATTTATGAATTATCGATAGGCACGACCGTTCTAAAGCTATCGATAGAAAAACTTTTGCGAACTTGTATTATGTAAATACTATTATTTATTTGCGAAAGTTTATAATTTAGCTGATCATAAACAAACATTTTGAAAAGTCACATCTTGATGTTATCGATAAATATGTCATCGAGCGCAATTGTGCTTAATTGGACGATTAAACAATTCATGTTATGTAGCTATTATCTTGCACGTGTCGATATCTATTCAAAATCTGACTATACCATATACATATATAGCTATATCTACCAACCCCTAAGTTCTAGTCTTAGTTTGTAAGCCTACAACAAGAAGAACAACAAAAAAAAAAAATAGAGAACGACAGCAAATTATTGTGTAATTTTTGCTCAAATTGATTTTCGTGCCTACTAAGTAGCTAAGTATTATAATAGGCATTCAGGCATTTTCATCGTTTTTGCTTTTCATTTATATTTTAGATTTTCTTTGCTAATTTTTTGTTGTTGTTGTTGCCTTGTTTCTTCGTGTGCTTCACAGTTTTCACGCGCTAAAATCCAATTAGTGAAAATCAATATTGCTCATACGCCACGCTGGCTCAATAATATTAATTATAATATTTTCTGTTTTCATTTTCTTTTTTGTCGATCATAATTAAAATATTTTTTGTTTACGCCTGCAACAACTTGGGCATGAGTTCACTTAGTTGCTGACTTTGTGTGTGTGTGTGTGTGTGGATGGGTGTGTGTCTGTCTGTGTGTGTGCTGCGTGGGTGGCTGAGTGGTTTATTTATTTTGCCAGGCAACTAGAGAAGACTGTAAATCAAATTCGAGTGGTAAAACTCATGCAAAAGCGTTCGTTACCCAATTGAAAAGCGTCCCGCAACGCAATTGATTATTCATATTTCACTTGAATTTGAAATTAGTTCAAGTTTTCAATTTATATTCATATCTTTTTTTCTTTTCTATACCAAACCAAATTAAAATGTCTGAATTGGGTATATTCGTTTTGTGCAAATGTATGCAGGGTAGCATAAAGTCGATTAAGCCGAGCTCGACTCGCTGTCCAGCCGTGTATCCCATCTGTATGGACCCGTCGATCTCGAAGATTATGTGAGCTAGAGATACATAATTTGGTATGTAAACGCGTCTATTGCCTGCACAGCTCAATTTCATTTCAAATTATCGTTAGCTTACGCTGTTTTTATGAAATCGATAAGTATCGATCGATCGCATTGCCACCAACTCAGCCTTGGGCTGTGGTTTTCACACATGATTGGATGCCATAAATATGCCCTGTAAATTTCATAAAGATCGGACAAAGAACACCGAAGATACTTAAGGCGTATTTTCTATAGAGCGGGATCCAAGAAAAGAAGAAGCACGGTCGCAGCATTAACTGGCAAGCTAATAAAGTGCATGCTAGTGTGTGTGTGTGTGTGTGTGTGTGTGTGTTTGTCATGCTTTTGGGCATCTTCTAGTCGCTTATACCCGACTCTTGCTTGTCACGTAGCGCAGCCATTAAATATGAATGCTGTGCCAGTGCTGCTGCTTATAAAGATACCCACAAAACCCTTACTCTGAGCCAGCATTGGCCTGAGGCCAATAAGAAATGTTAACGGCACTAAATATAGAATTCTAATTGGTATTGTAATCAATATCAATAAATTTGACAATGTCTGAACTTTCAATAGATTTTATATATCTCGAGCGGCTTTCTTCACGCTGGCTGTGTGTGACCTTAAAATGATTGATGAATGTTTTCACTCTTTGACATTTGGTCTCGCGTTTTTATCATTTTCGGTTTTATTTTCGTATTTTTATTTAGTTTATTCTTGCCACCCAAGCCCCCCCCCCCCTCCCACCCTCTTTTTTTTGGTATTTTTTTCACCCTTGTTGACACTGCGGCAACAACAAGAACGGCAACGGCTGTAGATAATTGTCACTTCGTCCCGTTCGTTGTACGCGCGGGAGGTGTGGGGTGTTGTAGGGGCTTTGCGGGAAGTTTGGCATTGCCGTTAAACAGGAAAGCAGCTTATGACCAATTTCTCTTTCCCTGTGTGTGTGTATGTGCGTGTGTGAGTGAGTTGTGTGTGACAAAAAGCTTTGTCACATTGAAAAACTTGCCAAAGCTAATGGCCTCTGAGAGAAATGATGTCTTGGGCATGATAATAGCTTGCCCTTTGGCAATTTTGGCGCGATATCAATTGCTTGAACCTACACCAATAAAAGAATCAAGTACCGACTTATGCATATATTCATTGTTAAAAAGCTTTAAGCTTTCAGCTCAAGTCCTGCTTGAGCACCCGAACGACCGCATACAAATTTTGTATGCAATTTAAAGTACTGCCAAGCCATAAATAAATGTTTGTCAATATGCTTAACTATGCATGTGTTTGCGTGTCTTGCTGTTTGTGTGTGTGTGTGTGTGTGTGTGTGCGCGCGTGGCAAACAAACAAAAAGCTTTGACATTTTGCGCGGCCGCGAGTTAAAAGCTTTGGCGCGAAAGCTTGCGCACCGCTTGCAAGTTTACATTTAGTAGTTTCAGCATTTCAAAGCTTTTTTTTTCCACTTAATTATGCAACACGCCACCAAACTTTTCATTCACTGTGCACACACGCACACATACTCGCACACACACGCACACATACTCGCACACACACGCACACACACGGGCGAGTGCGTGTTGGCGCTTTGCTGTTAAAAGTTTTCAATTTGGCAGCTAGCGTGGGAAAAGCTAACGGATTTAGTCAGTTGTAAGCGTTCACACATTTTGCTAATATGTTAATGATATACATTTGCATTTAACTTTGTGGCTCATGCTAATTATTTTGTAATTATTTTCAAATTTGCCATTTTAATTAGCCGGCGCTGCGCATATGTTTCTTCCCTTTAGTTTATTTTTTATTTTTTTTTTTTTTGTATAATTATCCATTATCGATTTATTATGTGTTCTTTCTAATTCGCATTGTGGCGTTGCCTACTTTTGGGCGTGCCTTAAGCCTAACAGCAGTTGACGAAGACTTAATACCCTTACGCGCATACTCATTTGTTCAAAATTGCATTTGTTCATAAAAAGCATATATGTATGCTTCTAGAGAGTATTAGGATTTTGTCATGAGATATGCAACGCATAGAGGCAGACGTTAAGCATATAATTTCTTGATCAGCATCGGGAGACGTGTCGTTATTGCCATGTCTGTCTGTCTCGTGATGGTTGTAGTTTAATAAAATATGTGTAGTCTAGTCTAGTCTAGTCTCCCAGTTTTGGGGATATCCGGACGATATATTAGCCGTATCAGACTTCTATATCTTATCAAAACAATCGAGTTTCTCTGCGCTGCTTCCATGTGCGCACAATTTTATAAACATCTGTCTGCGATATCATATAACCACTTCTTAGTCAAAGATCTGCAAGGGTATTTCATCTTCGGCGTGCCGTGAGTAGCCATTCGTATCAGTTTATGCTTTATGCAGCCAATAATTTTCCAACTTCTTTGGAATGTCGGGTCTGCATTCAGGATTAGCTTATCCATCCATCAGATATAAGAGAAGATACATACAGTTGATAAGATTGAGCATTGTGAAACTAATGACAGTTTGGTCCAGATAACTTGAATAACAAAAAATGCTTCATACATGAACCTACTTTTTACCGATTCTACCTTTGTGCAGCTATCCGTAACCGAAAGATAGAGCTATGCAAAGTTTTAAGAAGATTGCTTTAAAACTGAGAGAATAGTTCGCGTTAAAGTAGACAGGCAGACGGAAAGCCTATATCATATCGGCTGTTGATGCGGATCTAAAATGTATATACTTTCTGTTTTTGGTGATGTCTCCTTTTATGCTTGACACATTCCTTGACAAGGGTAGTACAAACAAAGCCCCTCTGTAAGCGCTCCTTAACCATCAAACTTTCATAAAAACTACCCTTACTTATATTATTATATGTATTCAACCTAGTCTTAGTAATTTCGTTATTTGGTATTTACAATTTGAGCATATTTATATACACTAACATATCCATATATGTATCTAATATATATCTAGGTAGATTTAAATGTACTATTATGACGTTTATGTAATTGCCGATTCGAGCTATGCTTAGAATTATGTTTGTATACTAGCCCCATTCTCATATTTACGCATATCTAAGTAAATTAACTAACTATTTAAATAACTAACTGTACTAATCACAATTCGCATCAATAATTCCTCCTTCAGGGCGTTCTTCTAATGCCTCGCACATTGTCCGAAAGCCGAAAGTTGCGACTTAGAAGGGCCTTCACAGAGGCCACTAACGAAACGCTACAATGCTCCAAAATGGTATTTAATTCTAATTTCTTACAAATTACCACCCCTCCCCCCCGCAAAAAAAAAAAAAATAAATAATAATCACCAAAAAACTAAAGAAATTTTATGGCAATTAAAAACAAATCCAACTTCGATAAGCATTTTGACGTTGAATATTTTTATGTATTGTATATATACAAAATACCAACAACTATAGCATAAAATACCAAAAACAATACTAAAATACTAAATTTGAAACAGTTTTGTAGTTAAAATTTGATTGCGATTAGATTTAATAGCACCATTTTGCGTATCCATAAACAAATGCGAATACATTTGCAAATTGGATGCGTTGTTTCCTTTTTTGTTGCTGTTCGTTTGTTTTGAGTACTCGTAGTCGTACTCATATTCGTACTCATAGTATTCGTGCTCATTCAGTGCTCGCTTGAGCCTCGTTCAATTGAATGAACCAAAATTCAATGCTTCATTGAATGCCGCTTGTAGCTGATTCTGATTATGCTGATTATATACATTCATTCACATTCACATTCATTCACGGAATTTGTATTCATGTGCTGTTTAGCTCGTTATTGCTTTAAGCCTGTAGCTGATAATAGTTATATATTATATATATACATACAGCATTAGTTATTATTTAAGAGATCTTCAAGGTAAGCGTAGATTTGTTCTTGTTTGCCTGCCGTTGCCCCTGCACATGTTTGTTGCATATGCATATCTTATGCACCAATTTATTGCCTGAACAAATACGTTTTGTATTGTTTTAAACAAAAAAAAAAATATATATATATATATATATGTATATATATATAACACATATGTATTATTTGTTTATTGCAGTCGTATAAAATACAGAATTTTCTACTTAAGCAACTTCGGGAATTAGCTAAAAACTGGAATAATCTTTTCTTTTTTTTTGTTTTTCAATATCTATACAATATTTGAGCAACTGAACTAGTATTTAATCAAATTTAACTGCCTTTAAGCGCAGTTGCGATTCGGCTTGCCGAAAATAATTGCCCTTTCTTGAGAAAATATGCCTGACAATTCCAAGAACAAGGAATTCTCTTAAATATCCATTTTGTTTGAGAAACCAATCCCACGGTCCAAGCGTGTGGCATAAATATAATAATAATTAATTGAATAAAATCTTATCAGTTGATAAAACATTTAACATATAAAATGTTCTTAATTGATTACAATTTTAATTAATCATAACGAGTATTTTCTTTGTGAAAAAATATTATATCTTTCAATGTTCTTCGCAGAAACTTTGTACAACAACAAATCTATACTTATATACATGGGGATATAATGTGTTGAATTTGAACCAGCATCCTGCTGTTCGTTAGCGCGTTTATAGCTGCGTTTTGATTTATGTACACCATAAAAAAAGCTTGAGTACAAATTGACCCCTGCATGGCGCCCAGTCTGAGAGTTAGTCAAACGGGACAAACTCTTGAAATACATGGGGATAAATTTGAACCAGCGACCTGCCGCTTGTTATCACGTGAAGTTGAAGTTGGGTTATTATTGTAGTTCTTCACGAAGGAAGCTTGAGTACACTTTGTTGCCAGTCTGTGTCGCAACATATCCCTATTTATGGGGATCTACGGCATTCAATTTGAACCAGCGACCTGCCGTTTATAGCTACGATATTATTGTTCTTCTTCATTAATGTAGTTTGATTACAAATTGTGCTACAACGTCTGTCAGTTAGTCTCTCAGTCTGGACAAATCCTAATATTACTGCCTAGGATCCACTGCGTTAAAGAAAGCCCAAAATAATATCTAGGCAAGGTGAAAGATATTGTAAAATTAGTTTGCAGAAACTGTTGCAATTGCAGCACATAAATTGTTTGCATTCAATTTGAAAAAACCCAAACTAAATACTCAAAATGTTGTGCTCGAAATCTTTTGGTATTTTGTTGTAGTTGTTGTTTTCTTTATTGTTTACTTAGTTTTGAATTTGGGCCATAAAAAGTGCTTTAAATTCGCGTGTGCACAAATTTTGGGTCTTATACAAGCTGACATTTTTAAGTTTTGTCGTAAACTTTCCGCAATTAATGTTTGCGGTCAAATTAAGTTGTGTGTCTCTTAATATACAAAAAAGAAAAGCAAAAAAGAAAAACTATTTCTAAATTTCTGGAATTTATAGCCCTAAAATTTGGCTAAAAGCGTTTTGTAAAACAAATGTTGGCCTCTCGCCAATAATTGTTGAATAAGCATTTTTTTTTTTTGGTTGTATTTTCTACTTTTTTTTATTATTATTATTTTTTTGATGCATGTACAGAGGTACTCGTAATTTTTATTGGGAATAATGCCATGTGGGACAAGGTTTTTTTTTCTCGTAATTCTTTGTCGAGCGGTCAGGGCGGGCAAAGGGGTAAATGCTGTGAGTCATGGCTGCATCGGCGCAGGGCATCTTCAAGTTCATACAAACCTGTCAGCAGACAAATGGCCATTAAGATTTTGGCCCGGGTCCACTGCCAGTCAGAGCATCATACGGCTGAGAGTCCGCGGAGGGGGTAGAGTTGGGTGAAGGCTGTCGGCGGGACGGTAGCTGAGAGCCGGCGAGAGCGAGCGCAGGCAGGAAGCGTTTCATGACGTAGGCAGTCGATTCTAATAATCGTTCGTAATGTGAATAGAGTATATAGGTTTTGTACAATTTTGGAGGCGAGCTAACCACAAGCATCTATAGTTTGCCCAAGTCTGTTAGAGTTTCTTCTTCAGATAAATTATACAAATATATGTCGGTAAAATAGGTATTTCTTTACATTTAACACTGTTCTGCCTGATGACTGATTGATTGACTGATTGACGTCAAGCGGGCAGAGCTGCAAAGCTGACATCTGCAGTCAATCTCTTTACTTTCCCAAGCTACAGTCAGACTGAACTTCGCTTCTTCAAATCAATTCATAACATATATATCGAAAGAATCAATATTTTGTATGCTTAAAATTGTCTTCTGACTGTTTGATTGACTGACTGATCGTTAGAATTCAAATCGAAAGAGCTGGTAACACGGGTTTCCACCCGCAAGTGCGGAAAAAAACGTGAAAATCGATTGCATGCAACCATCCAATCGACCATAAGTTAATTTGATTCTGGTGTGAATGTCATTCAAAAGGTGTTCCACATTTGTTTGGTGTGGCCCAAACGGCTTGAAACTTATTTATTAGTTCAGTATAAATACTCCGAACACTTCGAATACCCTTTTCATGTGTTTCGCTTTTGGAAATTCCACCTGACACTGTGGAACTGAGTAGGAAAGTTGTATACCGAACTGAGTAGTCTAGAAATATTTATATTATGCATTGACTGTGAACGGGCATTACGCAGTCGGTACCATTCGACTGCAAAGTGCTCTGTTCCTGTCCGTTGTTGACGGGGGGCGGGGCAGTGGGCGGTTTAGCGTTCAATGCGGATGTCTCTCTCAGCGGCCGCGATGCCAGCTGTTTCCATTCAATTGCCAGCAAATCAGCAATCGGCGATAATCGGTAATCGGTTATCGAGAATGGGCTAATCCACAATCGCGATCCGCGACGCGTGCTGACAAAAACGTTTCTTTTGCGGCAAAATTAGACGGAAAATTGAAAAAAAAAACACAAAAAAAAACAACAGAGAAAAAGAAGAAACTAATTATAAATAAAACAATATTCGGCTGGGCAAGAGCATTGAGCGCGACCGACGGGCACAGGTCGTAGCCAGCCACACAGATGGCCAGAAAGTCAAAGAAACGTATTTGAGCCAAATTGAAAGGCCGTTGTAGCTGTTGTTGTTGTTGTTCTTATTGCTGTTTTGGTCGTGTTTTGTTTACATTTTGGACAATTACGCAGCCGAATGTCGGCAAAATCGAATTGAAAATTTACGAAAATCAACAGCCGATTCGTTCGGGCAAATCAAAAACAAATCAACATTCAAACTGTGTGGAAACGGTTCGAGGAAAAATCCAAAACGAAACCGTATAGAAAAATAAAAATAGGAAAACACAAAATGCATTTGCCACAAGCAATTAAGTGAAAATGAAAAGTGTTAGCGAAAATTGCCACTGAAAGCGAAAAAAAATCATCGGAGCAAACCAATACACATATATATATATATATATATATATATATATATATATATATATATTTTTTTTTTTTAATTTTTTTTTTTATAGTATTTTTGTTATTGTTAATCGAGTTGACAGTTGCTGCGCGTTGTGCCGTGTGGCATGTCGCCTGCCTCTTGCATGGAGAACCAATGCAAGGGCAACCTTTACAAGAAGTGCCCGTGTCCTGGCCCGGTGCAGCCAGCTGCCGTTGCCGTGGACACGCTTCCAGGCACGTGCCCAGCCGTGAACATTGCAATGCCAACGTCAGCGCAGCTGCCGCCAGTTATGATGACGCGCACCGCCAGCGTTGGCGGCGGTGGTGGCGGGTTTGCTGGTGGCGCCGCAAATGCGTCACGCCGCACCTCCCTTTGGCTGGAGACGCTGCGTCAGACCCGCAAGCTTTCCTATGCCAACGAGCGCCCAATGCTGGTAAGTTCGCGGCTAACTCCCCCAAACAGATTCAATGCCAATTGCCAGAAACTTAACCCCCTAACACACACGCTCACACCTACACACACCCACACAGAGAGCTAACAATAACTGTAACTCTGACGCATGTACACGTATGACATATATGCGAGCAGGTTTTAGGTCCATTTCCATCGAGCACGTTGGCTGCCCATTGGTCCAACTATAAAAATAAATAACGCATTGCTTCTCAACTCAAACTGGGGCTCTACCAAGTTATTTTCATCCAAAGCATCTGCAGACGCAAACACAACACACACACACACACACACACACACATACACACTCACGCACACACACTCACGCACACGCTCACGCACACAGGAAATCAAAACAACCATAAAAAATTGTTTACTTTGAATAGGCATAGCGACGTTTGCATGCCCTTACTTCTTAATAGATAGACAATTTTCTGAATATGCCAAAATATTTAAACAAAAAACTCGATAAA